GATCCCTACTTTTGTATCTTTGGGGTAAATACCCAGTAGTGCAATTGCTGGATCATAGGGTAGCTCTATTTTCAACTTTTTGAGGAACCTCCATACAGTTTTCCAGAGTGGCTGCACCAGCTTGCATTCCCACCAACAGTGTAGGAGGGTTCAGGGAACCCTATTTAAAGAATGGCATACACACCTTTGAGGACATCCAGAATAAAGTGATCAAACTATGTGGAAGCTCTAACATCAAAAGAAGAAATAATGAAATAACTCAGAATAGTTTTCCTGGAGATAAGGAGACTAATGAGAGATGTGATCACTACATTCAAATATTTAAAGAACTGTTATATGAAAGTGTAGTAGCAATAGTAATAACAGAATAGCTGCAACTGCTAACACTTATATAGTGCTTACTATTTCTCAGACTGTTTTAAGCACATTTAATTATCACAGAAACCCTTTGAATTAGATATAATTTATAATTGCTTCCATTTTATAGATGTACAAAAATGAAGCACTGAGAGAAGTTAAATTGCTTGCCAAAAATCATAAAGTGAAAGAGCTGAGATTCAAAGACAGATAGTTTGGCTCAGAGTTCGTGCTCTTAATCACAATGTTAGAGAATTCTATGTATTTCCTAAGAGGAGGACTAGATCCAGTGGGTAAAATTTTTCCAGTGCAGGCAGATATCAGCTCAATATATAAGGAGAACTTTCCTTAAATTGTAGCTGTTCAACAAAATAAAATGTCCACTTTCATCATTTTGACTATTTTTTCTCTACTTTGAGTTTTATAATTGTGGATTTTAAATAAAAGGAAAACTTATGCAATTAAGGTCAGTTTTTATAATGAGGAAGAACAAACTATTTCCTTTAAAATAGCTAGTACAAACCCACATCAAGGTCAGAAATATTTTAAACACACACATATTCCAACATACATACACATATACACATACATATAGGTTCTTTTAAATATTAAGAAAAAAATCAGGGCACTTTATGGTGTATAACATTGAACTGAAGATACTAGTCCTTTGTCCCTAAAATACTTTTAAATATAATCTAAATAATATTGAACTTTAAAGACTCAATTCTTACTTGATATGGAATTATCATTTGTTCTGATGTTTATTTCTTGCCTGTTAAAAAAAAAGTTTCAATTAAAATTTTCTAGTTAATAATAACTAATAATAGTAATATGTCAATAATAACATAATATAATTTATAATATGATACAATATAATATATGAGTGAGAATGCCTGGTATCAAAAAGACAAAAAATAAGTGTGAGGATGTGGAGAAAGTAAACACTTGAACACTGTTGATAGGAATGTAAACTGCTGCAACTACTGTGGAAAACAGTATAGAGGTTCCTTCAAAAACTAAAAATAGAAGTACCATAAGATGCAGTAATTCCACTTTTGGATATTTACTTGAGGAAAACAAAAAGATTAATTAAAATAGATATATGAACCATTATGTTTACTGCAGCATTATTTATAATAGCTAAGATATGGAAGTAACCCAACTGTCCATCCATAGATGAATGGCTAAAGAAGATGTAGTATATATATAACGGAATATTACTCAACCATAAAAAAGAATTAAACCTTGCCATTTGCAGCAACATGGATGGACCTAGAAGGTATTATGCAAAGTAAAATAAGTCAGATAAAGAAATAAAAAATGCTATATGATTTTACTTATATGTGGAATCAAGGAAAAAAAAACAATGAATAAACAAAAATAGAAACAGACTCTTAAGTACAGAGAACAAGCTGGTGGTTGCCAGAGGGGAAGAGGGTGGCAGGATGAACAAAATAAGTAAAGAGGATTAAGAGGTACAAAATTTCCATTTTAAATAAATAACAGGGATGAGATGTATAGCACAGGGAATATAGTCAATAATATTTTAATAATGTACTATACTGACAGATGATAACTGCACTTACTGTGGTGAGCACTGCATAATATGTAGAATTGTTAAATCACTATGTTCTACATCCGAAACTGATATAATATTGTATGTCAACTATACTTCAATAAAAAAGTAACATAAATTTTAAAACATGCCAAAACACTATATATTTCCTATGTATTATTTGATATCATAATAAATAGAGTTTGTATTATAAACATTAATAAACATATAACAAAAATACTTTTAATTTGTACTATGGGTAAAAATAATAATAATATTGTTAATAGGACTTCCATTGTAACACTTTGAGGATTTTTTTAGTGTAGTTGATGCAATTTTACATTAGTTTCAGTTGTACAACATAGTGATTTCACAAGTTTATACATTATGTTATGTTCACAAGTGTAGCCTTCATCTGTTCCAATACATTACTTTTACAATATAACTATTATCCTTATGCTATGCCTTTTATTCCCATGACTGTCAACTATCAGTTCCCTGTATTTATAGGTCTGATTCTGCTTTTTGTTTGTGAATTTATTTTTTGAGATTCCACATATAAGTGAAATTATATGGCATTTAACTCTCAGCCTGATTTATTTCACTTAGCATAACCCATGCTGTCTAAAATGGCAAGATCTCATCCTTTCTTATGGTTGCATAATATTCCAGTCCGTGTGTGTGTGTGTGTGTGTGTGTGTGTGTGTAACATCTCTATCACCTATCATCTATCATCTACCATCTATCTATCTATCTATCTATCATCATCTATCATCATCATTTATCTATCATCTATCATCATCTATCTATCTATCTATCTATCTATCTATCTATCTATCTATCTATCTATCATCTATCTATCTAATCTTGACTTAGGGGACATATCTAGAGAAATTTTGCTATGGTTGATGTCAGAGAAATTATTGTCTGTGTTTTCTTCTAGGATTTTTATGGTTTCAGGTCTCACATTTAGGTCTTTAATCCATTACAAGTTTATTTTTGTGTTTGCTGTTAATAGGTGGTCCAGTAACATTCTTTTAGATTTAGCTGTCCAGTATTTCCAGCACTGTTTATTGAAGAGACTTTCTTTTGCCTATTGTATATTTCTGCCCTTTTTGTTATTTCTGGGCTCTATATTTTTTACATTGATATATATCTATTTTTGTGTTAATACTATATTGTTTTGATTACTAAAGATTTATGGTGTATCTTGAAATCTGGAATTGTACTATCTCTAGCTTTGTTATTTTTTTTCTCAAGATTGTTTTGGCTCTTTGGAGTCTTTTATAGTTCCATACAAATTTTAGTATGAATTTGTTCTAGTACTGTGAAAAATGTTGGCATTTTGATAGGGATTTCCTTAACCTGTAGATTACTTTGGGTAGTGTGGACATTTTAACAATATTGGTTCTTCCATCCATTAGCATAAAATATCTTCCCATTTGTGTCATCTTCATTATCTTTCATCAATGTTTTATAGATTTCAGAGTACTGTCTTTCACCTTCTTAAGTTTATTTTTAGATATTTTATAATTTTGGGTGAAAATGTAATTGCTTTTTTTCTTAATATCTCTTCCTACTACTTTGTTACTAGTGTTTAGAAATGTTACTGATTTTTGGGTATTTTGTATCCTGCAACTTTACTGAACACATTTATCAGTTCTAGTAGTTTTTTGATGGAATCTTTCAGATTTTTATTCTATATTCATGTCATTTCCAAATAGTGAGAATTTAACGTCTTTACCAATATGAATGCCTCTTATTTCTTTTTCTTGTCTGATTGCTGTGGATAACACTTCAAAACTATGCTAAATAAAAGTAGTGAAGGTAGACATTTATGTCTAATTTCTGATCTTAGAGCAAAAGCTGTTAGTTTTCACCTTTCAGTATGTTAGCTGTGCATTTTTCACATATGGCTTTTATTATGTTGAGATATGTTCCCTCTAAACCCACCTTGTTGAGAGATTTTATCATGAATGTATGTCATACTTTGTCAAATGCTTTTTTTTTTTGCATCTATTGAAATGATCATATGATTTTTTTCCTTTGTTTTGTTGATGTGGTATATTATGTTGATTGATTTACAAATATTCGACCACCCTTGCATACCCAAAATAAATTTGGGTATACCCATTTGATTGTGGTGACTGATCTTTTTATGCATTTTTTAATGCAATTTGCTAATATTTTGGTCGGAATTTTTGCTTCTGTGTTCACTAGGTAAATAGACCTGCAGTTTTCTTTTTGTAAGTGTCTTTGGTTTTGGTATCAGTATAATTCTAGCCTGGTAGAATGTATTTGGATGTTTTCCTCCTTCTTCTATTTTTTAGAGTATTTTGAGAATAGGTATTAAATCTTCTTCAAAGGTTTGGTATAATTCACCTGTGAAGCCATCTAGCCCAGGACTTTTATTTTTTGGTAGTTTTTTTTATTACTGACTCAATTTCACTACTAGAAATTGGTCTGTTCAGATTTTCTATTTCTTTCTGATTTGGTTTTAAAAGATTGTTTCTAAGAATTTATCCATGTCTTCTAGGTTGTCTAATTTGTTGATACATAAATTTTTGTAGTATTCAATTAGAATTCTTTGTATTTCTCTTGTGTCACTTGTTACTTCTCTCTAAATTCTTATTTTATTTATTTGGGTCCTTTCTCTCTTTTTTTTTCCTCGATGAGTCTGGCTAAGAATTTATCAATTTTGTTTACCTTTTCAAAGAACTAGCTCTTGGTTTCATTGATTTTTTTTTTTTTTTAGTTTCTATACCATTTATTTCCTCTGACGATTATTATTTCTTTCCTTTTACTCACCTTGGGATTTTTTGTTGTTGTTTTTCTAGTTCCTTTATATGTAAAGTTAAGTTGTTTATGTGAGCTTTTTCTTGTTTGTTCAGATAGGCCTGTATCCCAATATATTTCCTACTTTGAAGTGATTGCACTGTGTCCCAAAGATTTTGTGTTTTCATTTTCATTTGTCTCCATTTATTTATTTTTTAGTTCTTCTTTGACTGCTTGATTAACTCATTGGTTCTTTAGTGTCATGTTGTTTAGTCTCCATGTATTCATGTTTGTGGTTATTCTAGTCTTTTCTCTTGTGATAGATTTCTAGTTTCATACTGTTGTGATTGGAAAAGATGTATCGTATGATTTCAATTTCTTAAATTTATTGAGACTTGTTTTGTGTCCTAACATGTGACCTGTTCTGGAGAATGTTCCATGCAAACTTGAAAAGAATGGGGCGCCTGGGTGGCTCAGTTGGTTAAGCGACTGCCTTTGGCTCAGGTCATAATCCTGGAGTCACAGGATCGAGTCCCGCATCAGGCTCCCTGCTCGGCAGGGAGTCTGCTTCTCCCTCTGACCCTCCTCCCTCTCATGCTCTCTATCTCTCATTCTCTCTCTCTCAAATGAATAAATAAAATCTTTAAAAAAAAAACTTGAAAAGAATGAATATTCTATTGTTTTTGGATGGAATGTTTTGTATATACCTCTTATGTTGATCTTGTCCAATGTGTCATTCAAAGACATATTTTCTTTGTTGATTTTCTGCCCAGATGATCTACCTATTGATGTAAATGGGTTGTAAAGTCCCTTACTATCATTGTGTTGCCATCAATTTTTCCCTTTATTTCTGTTAATATTTATGTATTTAGGTAGTCCAGTGTTGGATCTGTAGATATTTATAATTGTTACAACCTCCTGTTGGAGTATCATTATGTAACGTATCATTATGTAATGCCTTTCTTTGTCTCTTGTTAACAGTCTTTGTTTTAAAGTCTACTTTTCAATAAATAAATAAGTCATTTTTTCTGACTTTAGTATTGCTGCCATGTTTTTTTTTTTGCTTCCATTTGCATAGTATATGATTTTTTTTAATCCCTTCACTTTCAGTCTCTTTATCTGTAGGTCTGAAGTCTATCTCTTGTCAACAGAATATATATAGATTCTTTTTTAATCCATTCCACCATTCTATGTCTTTGATTAAATAATTTAGGCCATTTACTTTTATTTTATTTTTATTTTTTCTAAATATTTTATTTA